ATGCATGTTTAAAGCTTTTATATATTTTTGGCTTCGTGATGTACATAACATTAATGCAGTAGCACGTTGCTTGGAGGTATATGAACAAAATTTTCATGTTAGTAGAACCATCAAAGTTTAGAGGCCATCTGGATTCGTGAGAATATTTAAAATCATCTTGCTGCTTTTAGTAGTTAGTAACTGTCCGTAGACTAATGATTATTGGGTCTTTTTAACCATGCTGGGTATGCCAGCTATTTAGTATGTTCATGTCATCATATTCAGCTAACATTTATTGATTGCCAACTTTGTGCCAGAGACTGTTAAACTTTAAATTCATACTTTTTGTTAATCCCCACAACAAACCCATAGGATCTTGTATCACTGTTGTAACTGAAGAAAGAGACTTCCAATGATAAATGAAAGCTGTAACAATATCACACAACTAGGGAGTTCCCTGGTGGTCCAGTGGTTAGGACTCTGCAGGTTCACCACTGAGGGCCAGGGTTCAATCCCTAATCAGGGAACTAAAATCCCACAAGACAGCTGGCCAACAACAACAAAAAACCAATATCACAACCAGTGTGCTGTGTGATCACAGAGGCAGGATTTGAACCGAGCTCTTAACCACCACACTACTCTGATGGCCCTTTCCCAGTTCATGGGGGAAAAAACAGAAAGATGGAGAAAATTCTCCAGGTTTTCAGTTTCCCCCATATTCTTTGGTATATATCACCACTTGTTTGCTAGGAAGTTCTAGCAGACAACAAAACAACGAGGAAGTAGCTAACTAATACTAATGAGCGATCCCACGGTTTTTCTGAGTCTTTAGTTTGAATAATTGACACCATTTTCTGGACACAAACTTGAAATTTTTATGTTATGCACATTTTACAAGTAAGTTGTTCCTCATTTGTATGCTAAAATTAAATATATACCAGTATCTTGGGTGACTCTCAGGTACTTTACAAGTAAATAATAGAGTTGAGAATTCCTGGGACAATAAAAAGGAGAGAGAAATGAAAGCCTTTGTAAAATAGCATCAAGCTTGTCCTTGAAGGATAGAAAGGGGATGACAACAAGTAAACATGTAAAGGGCCGGAGAAGCTGGAGTTGTCCTGGAGAGAGAAGAACGTGTGTCACACATGGGAAGCTGGGCAGTGAGGGGGCTACTCTGTTTCCAAGTAGTTGAATACATTAAATGCACTATGTCAGACAGGTGGAAGAACTTTCACAAAACGTCAGAGGAAAAAAAGAACTGCTTTTATTAAGTATCTTAATTTTTGACAGATTTTGTCTGATATAATGTGCTGGATTTGGTACCACATGACATTTCATATGTAATTATATTCTGAAATTGATGGAAAAATGTGTTTAATCTAGGAATATTCCCTGGGATTGTGAGAAAATAAAGAAAGCCAGTGAGTGGCTCAGAAGAACTGAAGGGCAGTACCCATCCATCTGCCAGCGGCTGGAGCTGGGTAAAGACTGGGACTCTGCCACCAAGCAGCTACTGGGGATCCTGCCCAGAGATGCCGCCTCCCCTCCTCACAGGCTTCTTAAGCACAGCCAAGGCTGACGCACATTCACTTGTCTTTTAGCCTGCATTCATGCCTCATGTGTATGATAACCAGATATAATTGATGCCTATAATGAAATCTAATTACGATTTTATTCAGTATAGCAATCACTTTAAAATAAATGGAAAAGGCTGTTGTTTCAGTGAACTAACAAGCAATTGTACAATAAAAATTTCAAGGAATTCCTTTTAACTCCAAGCTTTTAATGCTGTGATTCTGGATTTGATCCCTGGTCAGGGAACGAAGATCCCACAAGACAAGCAGTACAACCAAAAAAACTTTTTTAGATAAAAATTCTAATATTACAGAATTTTTTTTAACCAGAGGTTGGGGGAGGGTAGAGATTGGATGAAGGTGATCAGAAGGTACAAACTTCCAGGTACACGATAAATAAGTACTAGGATGTAATGTGCGGCATGAAAATATAATTAACACTGCTGTATAGTACATATGAAAGTTGTTCAGAGACTAAATCCTGAGTTCTCATCACAAGGAAAAAATGATCTTCTTTTACTCTGTACCTGTATGAGGTGGTGGGTATCACTAAACTACTGTGATCATCATTTCATGATGTTTGAGAGTCAGATCATGGTGCTGCCATCTTAATCTTATACCGTGCTATATGTCAATTATATCTCAATAAAACTGGGAGAAAAAATTAGGTCACTACCCTCTTTGACCTGTAAACTCCACTGGTAGGAATTGTACTTCTAGAAATTCATCTTACAGAAATGTGGACACATTGACACATGCAGGTATCATATGTGCATATATACATAGTGCCATCACCCAGCATACACAATAGAGCCCATTTTAAAAGTTCTGTAAATAGGTATTTGCGAGATAAAAATCTATCATGTCATATTCCAAACTAGTTACCTTTGAGGAATAGAAACTTTATTTCTATCTTATATACTTTGAATTTTAAAAGTTTAAATTAAAAAAATTAAAAAATTTTACAAGGAACGTATGTACTTAGTTTTTATTTCAAAAATACATAAAAGCAGAGTAAATAGTGTAATGACCCCCATCAAGACATAAAGTATTTTGTCAGTCTTTTTACATGTAGAACAGTCTTCTCTCGCCTCTTACTGCTGAGGAACTGGTCTGGCTGTCTTACCAAATGTCCCACATTCTGGATATGTCTGTGTCCGTTTCTCTTTCCCCATATTTCCTGTAAACTGGGAATTAAATCTGTAGTCCCGAGGAGATTAAGGATCAACGTTTTTGTCAACCTGAACCATGAAGTTTGGTTGATCTGCTTTAATAATGTTAACATTGACTAGCAGGTTTCCAATATGAAGTTGTTTCCCTACAACCAACATCTATCTGTGGAGAGATACTTCGACATCCAGTTCCTTATCAGTCAAATGATGCTGTTGTCTGAATCATTTTAAGAAATATTGTGATTCTCTATTTTATTTCCTTCTTCTTATTAGCTAGAATTCTGAAATAATAAGTGTTCCCCATCAACTAATGTTGCTTTATTTAAAATTATAATTTAAATATTTTATTTTAAATGTTTTTATTTAATATTGTAAATATCTCAAATTATTAGAATTGCTGCCCTTCTTTAGAGGCTGAGAGTCCCTGGAAGGCAGGCTCTGATGTATTTATCTTTATGTTCCTAACACCTAGGATGCACTTAGCAAGCCAGCACAAAGATCTGCTGCATCAGAGTCATAATCTGTTCATTTAAATTTTGTAAATTAATGTTATTTTGTAAATTGTCAAAATAAAAACTGTCACTTGCCATCTGCCTCTACAAGGATGAGGTCATTAGCCACTGCAGTCTCTGACCTGCAACACCCCCTGAAAGGAACTTGGGGCCAGGATCAGGAATGAGGCTCTGTGCTCTGGGAAAAACTCGCAGGACTGGCCTTCAGATATCTTCTGGAGATTTTATGAGCCCAATTCTCGCACCTCCTCATACCTAGAAAAGCACTAAAGTCAGTAACAAGGACACCTGCTCCTCGTGACTAGCAGCGGCCCTCTGCCAAAGCAGGTGCTTGAGTGTGAGTACCCCCTTCACTGAAGTGACACCCGTGCTGAGCCCGCACCTCTTTGGAGCAGTTCCTCCAGTGCTGGGGAGAGCCTGTCTCCTGCATATAGTTATCATTTTACCCCAAATAAGACTTTGCTCACAGTTCTCACCTTGTGCATTTATATCCATCAACAAAATTCAAGGTTAAATAAAAAGCTCCACTGCCACAAAGTCTCTTGTTTGCTTATTTGCAATTCAAAGAGAAAAATACTTCACCTAACTACTGTGGGAGCAAAGAAGAACTAGAGAGCCTCTTAATAAAAGTGAAAGAGGAGAGTGAAAAAGTTGGCTTCAAACTCAACGTTCAGAAAACTAAGCTTATGGCATCCAGTCCCATCACTTCATGGCAAATAGATGGGGAAACAGTGACAGACTATTTTGGGGGGCTCCAAAATCAGTGCAGATGGTGACTGCAGCCATGAAATAAAAAGACACTTACTCCTTGGAAGAAAAGTTATGACCAACCTAGACAGCGTATAAAAAAGCAGAGATATTACTTTGCCAACAAAGGTCCGTCTAGTCAAGGCTATGGTTTTTCCAGTAGTTTGAGAGTTGGACTATGAAGAAAGCTGAGCACCTAAGAACTGATGCTTTTGAACTGTGGTGTTGGAGAAGATCTTGAGAGTCACTTGGACTGCAAGGAGATCCAACCAGTCCATCCTAAAGGGAAATGAGTTCTGAATATTCATTGGAAGGACTGATGTTGAAGCTGAAACTCCAATACTTTGGCCACCTGATGCGAAAAACTGACTCATTGGAAAAGACCCTTAAGCTGGGAAAGATTGAAGGAAGGAGGAGAAGGGGACGACAGAGGATGAGATGGTAGGATGGCATCACCAACTCAATGGACATGAGTTTGATTAAGCTCCAGGAGTTGGTGATGGACAGGGAAGCCTGGTGTGCTGCAGTCCATGGGGTCGCAAAGAGTTGGAGGCGACTGAACTGAACTGTGGGCGAGAGTTCATTTTTTTTTGGGGGGGGGCACTTTTTGTCAATCACTTATAAGATGGGCAAATTACTTTTTATGAGGTTCTCTGATTTTCCTGGGGGGGGCCGGGAATCCCAGCTAGAACTTGGAAAAGAAACGTTTTCCTTATCTTTAAACAGCACTCCCCTAAACTGTAACAGCACTGAGAGCTGCGTTTGACTGGTTCCTAGGCGTTTATCCCAGCTACATCACCCAGATAAGAATTTCTGGCCCGCCCACTCCACTCCCCGCCAGCTTCCCGCAAGCCGTGCCCCGCGCCCGTGCCCCTCAAGCCCCGCCCCCAGCGCTGCCCCGAGACTCTCGCCACGGCCTTACGTCGCGGCTCTTCCTTCCGCCCAAGGCACCTCCCCCCTAGGCCCGCCCACCCGCTTCCTGTGGGCGGTGCGGGGCTGAGGCGCGTCCGCGTTGACGTGTTTGTTGTGCGCGTGCGTCGCTCCTCGGTCCCGAGCCCGCCATTGGCGTTTTCCAGTCTGCGGCGTCCGACTGGCCGAGGTTCGGGGCCGAAAGCGGGGCGCGCATAGCGGCCCCTCTCCAGGCAGCTTGGAGAGCTCCGTTATGGCGGAGGCGGAGAGAGCGAGCGTGGCTACAGTTCCTGGTTCTGGTGCCGAGGGCAGCGGTCAGTCGCCTGCAGTCGAAGGAGAGGGAGTTGGGGCGGGGGGCAAAGAGAAGGACGCGGACGCGAAGGAAAAGGAGGCCGGCGGGGACAGCGAGGAGGACGGCGAGAATGTGTTCGAGGTGGAGAAGATCCTGGACATGAAGACTGAAGGGGTAGGTGCGGGCCCGGGGTGATGCTGCCCGCGCAGAGGGGGCTCCGGAGGCGGTGTGGCGGAGGTCCACGCCGCGGGGGCGCTGAGACCGGGGCTCCCTCCTAGGCCGCCGTCCTCGGCGCGGGGACGGTGTCTCGGCTCCGAGAATCGAGTGTCCTCACCGCGCTCTGCCCCGCGCTTCCCCATCCCTCCTGGAGAACCCTGCTTAGTGTCTTGTTTGACCCTGGTCCCCCCTCAAAGTAAGGTGCTTCCTCCGTTTGTGCCCTTAACGAGACTTTGTATAGACCTCTGTTTACGTTTCAAGAGTTCGTTCTTTGTATGTTGGTCTCCTGCTAGATTGTGAACTCCCTTAGTACAGAGACTGTGCTCTTTATTAACTTGTTAACGCTGGCACTTGAATCCGGTACCCAGCATGCGGTAATTGCTTAATGTGTATCAGGTTAAGTGAGTGAATCGGTTGTGGGATGGGGGAAGGTGAGTGGGTGGAAGGATGGGCCATTGCTATCTTTTAGTAAATAGGTGTAGGGTGACCAAAGGCCCTACACGATGGTCCTCTGTGTATTGTGTTTTCAGTTCAGTTTCTCAGTCGTATCCGACTTTGCAGCCCCATGGACTGCAGCACGCCAGGCTTCCCTGCCCTTCTTTTTATTCCCTATGTTTTTTAAATTGTCTCTCATTTCCCATTTGTCGTATGCTACCTTTTTTTTTTTTTTGCGCATTCATTCAGTAGAATTTTGTTTTCAATTACTGCCTGGTAGGTGCCGTGTTAGGTCCTGAGGATATAGAGATGATTTGTAGCATAAACGGTTGCTGATATAAAAGATTCTCTTGTCCAGTAGGGGGTAAATAACTGAAATCCAATGTCGACAATATTATTGTTAGTTGCAGTGAAGTTAGAGACATTTTTATGTATTTAATTTTCCCAATTACGTTGTAAATACCTTGAGGTGAGAGGTGGAGCATTCTTACACTTTTGTATCACCTGCGTTTAACATAGTCCCAGGCAGGCGGAAGATACTCAGAAAGTAGTTCGGATGGTAATGACTTAACAATTAAGATGATTCACTTCTTAATACAATGTTTTATTTTGTCAGCTTCGAAGGATTGTAGGAACTGCGCCTAAAGCCCCATCTTTACATTTTCTTTCCTTTATTTAAGTGGAATCTCACTATATTTGTTTGGTGTGCATCTGCTTTTTTTGTTCAGTAACATCTTTGTGAGATTTAGTCCCTTCTGTTGGAGCTATAGTTTGGTTTTTTTTTGGTTGCTACTTAGTTACAGTTGACCTCAAACAACTTGGGCCCTAGGGTTGCTTGGCCCTGCACAGTTGAAACGCCAGTATAACTTTTAACTCCCTCAAAACCTAATTACTAAGGGCTTTTTTACCAGAAAGGGAAGCCTTACCATAATGTAAACAGTTAACAAATATTTTGTATGTTAGGTGTATTATATATTGTGTTCTTAATAAAGGGCTTCCTTGGTAACTCAGCTGGTAAAGAATCCGCCTGCAATGTGGGAGACCTGGGTTCGGTCGCTGGGTTGGGAAGATACTTAATAAAAAAGTAAACTAAAGAAAAGAAAATATTAAGAAAATCGTAAGGAAGAGAAAATATATTAATGGTATTGCCTACCCTGTTTACATCATTTGTTTACAAAATGAATTACCTGTCAGAGCCTACATCAATATTGTCTTAAATAAAACATTGTAGGTGTTGTATGTATTACTTACACTGGCATCAACAATGAAAAGGTAATGTGAAAAACTTGAATGATTCAGTGTTTTATGGTAGCCTAGTGTAATCGATACAATTGCTTCACAGTAGCCTAGTTTGGGCTTCCCTGGTGGCTTAGTGATAAAGAATCTGCTGGCGCAGGAGCTGCCAGTTAAGATTCTTGGGTTGGGAAGATCCCCTGGGGGTAGGCATGGCAACCCACTCCAGTATTCTTGCCTGGAGAATTCCATGGACAATCCGTGGGGTCACAAAGAGGCAAACATGACTGAAGCGACTTAGCACAGCACAGCAGTCTAGCCTAGACACTAAAGAACAGGTCATTAGAAAATTTTTATGGCATACAGTATTACAGTCATATTTATAATACAGTATCAGAAACATTGTTACATTTTTAAAGAAGTCATTTACCTTGAATAATAGGCTAATATTCAGTTTCTCCAATTAGAAAAGAATAATTCTTTGAAAGCAACGTTATAACACATTGAGAAAACAACACATTAATTTCCCATTAACTGTCACTCATCTTATGCCTTTGTAGTAATAGACCAACATCTGCATATTCTTCATGCATTCTTTGCATACTTTTCTCTTAATTATTTCAGTATTTCTAGACTATATGGTTCATCTGCAACTTTATTCAAATTGTTGAAAATCTCTAAAAATTTTTCCAATATATTTATTGAAAAAAATCAGCATATAAGTGGACCCCACAGTTCAAACCCATGTTGTTAAAAGGTCAACTGTATTCAATTGTATGAATATATTACAGTTTTATCTTTTCTACTACTGTTGGTGGGCACCTAGGTTTTTTCAAGTTTTGGTCTACCGTGAATAATGCTTCTGTGAACTTTACTGATGGAGAAGAAAATGGCAGCCCACTCCAGTATTCTTTCCTGGATAATTCCATGGACAAAGGAGCTTGATGGACTACATTCCATGGGGTTGCAAAGAGTCAGACACGACTGAGTGACTAACAGGCCAGGAACTTTACTGAACATGTCTCCTGGTGTATTGTCACAAATGATTCTCTTGGTTCTATTGCCATATACCTAGGAGTGGGAGGTGTACACCTAGGAGGACAAGATGCATATGTCTTCAGCTTTAAGAAACTGTTTTCAAAAGTGATTGTACCAATTTACAGTACTACTATTGGCTTATGAGAATTCCTTTCATGTCGCATCCTGTCAACACTTGATATCATCAGTCTTTATATTTCAGCCAGTAGAGGTGGTATATTTGTTGGTGTTTCCAGCTTATAATTTATATTTTTCTGGACTTTACATTAGAAATCAGCATTGAAATCATTGAGCATCTTTTCATATATTCATCATTTGGTTATCTTTTATGAACTGCCCTTTCAGATCTCTGTACTGAGTTGTCTTTATTGATTTCTTGTATTCTGGATTCAAACCCTTTGTGAGTGGTGTCGTGTAAATCTCTTTTCCTGCTATGTCTTTTTGGTAAATAGAATATGATTAATGTAGGAAAAGTTAATTTTTGTCTTGATGTTGAGTGCTTTTAATGTCTGGTTTGAGAAATCTTTCCTTACTCTAAATATTCTTTTTTTTTTTTTCCCTGAAAGCTGTATTGTTTTGTCTCTCTGACTTACATTTGCACATCACTTGTAATTGATTTTGTGTATAGTGTAATGTAGGAGTCAGGTTTCATTGAGCAAATCTTTCTTTTTATTCTTTAACAATGCCTTGTAAATTTTAGAATCAGCTTGTCAATTTTCTTGCACACATAAAAACTTTGAGTTTTTATTGAGATTTGCATTGAATCTGTGGATAAGTTTAGGATTAATTTAATTGCTTCAATAATACTTTATAGCTTTCTTTTTAAAAAATACTTATTTAGTTAGTTATTTGGCTGCACCTGGTCTTAGTTGTGGTGTGTGGGATGTTAGTTGTTGTTGTTAGTTTCTGTAGGTGTGATTTCTTTAGTTGTAGCCTGTGAACTCTTAGTTGCTGCGTGCAAATTAATATATGACCGGGGATGGAACCCAGGCCCCCTGCATTGGGAGCAAGGAGCCTTAGCCACTGGCCCACCAGAGAAATCCTGTTTTATAACTTTCTGTGTTGAAGTTTTAGTAAATTGATTTTTAAGTGTTATTGGTTTTTCAGTGCAGTGGTAAATGATTTTTTGAAAAGTTTCCTTGTCTTTTTGTTGCTTATGAAATTAATTTTTGTATGCCCTTTGTTAAAGAGATTCCCTCTATTTCTGGTTGCTAAATACTTTTATTGTGAATGGATTGTGTGTTGAATTTTATTAAATCATTTTTGCTGCATCTATGATTGCATAATTTTTCTCCTTTATACCACTAATGTGATGAATTACACTGATTTCAACTTCATGTTCATAGAATAAACCAAAGTTGGTTGTGATGTTATCCTTTTTAATATTAGATTATATAGTTCTTAACTATTTCATTTATTTCTGCTTTTTCTTTATGATTTTCTTTCCTTATTTGTTGGTCTTTTTCTAGCATCTTGAGATGGATGCACAGCTTTTTAAAAGATACTTATTTTTAACTGATGATTGCTTTACAGTATTGGTGTGATTTGTCATACATCAACATGAATTAACCATAGGTGTACATATGTCTCCTCCCTCTTGAATCTCCCTCCCACCTCCCTCCCATTCCACCTCTCTAGGTTATTACAGAGCCCCAGCGTGAGTTCCCTGAGTTGTATAGCAAACTCCCATTAGCTGTCTATTTACATGTGTTGGTGCATGTGCGTCCATGCTGCTCTCTCCATTCATCTCACCCACCCTTGTCCATAAGTCTGTTCTCTATGTCTTGTCTCCACTGCTGCTCTGCAAACAGATTTGTCAGTATCTTCCTTTTAGATTCCATATATGTGCATTAATATAAGATACTTGTTTTTCTCTTCCTGACTTAACTTCACTCTGTATGTTAGGCTCTAGGTTCATCCATCTCATTAGAACTGACTCAGAAGAGTTCCTTTTCATGGCTGATGTGATTGTAAATACGTACCACAGCTTCTTTATCAGTTCATCTATTGATGGACATCTAGGTTGCTTCCATGTCTTGGCTGTTGTAAATAGTGCTGTGGTGAACATTGGGGTACATGTGTCTTTTTCAGTTTTGGTTTCTTCAGGGTGTATGCCCAGTAGCAGGACTGTTGGATTGTATGGTAGTTTTATTCCTCGTTTTTAAAGGACTCTCCATGCTGTCTTCCACAGTGGCTGTATCAGTCTATGTTCCCACTAGCAATGTTCCCTTTTCTCTACCCTCTATGTTCCCTTTTCTCTACCCTCTCCAACACTTGTTATTTGTGGATTTTTTTTATTATGGCCATTCTGTGTGGCATGAGGTGATATTTCATTGTAGTTTTGCTTTGCATTTCTCTAATAATGAGCGATTTTGAGCATGTCTTGTGTTTATTAGCCATCTGTATGTCTTCTTTGGAGAAATGTCTGTTTAGGTTTTTTGTGCTTTTTGATTGGGTTGTTTTTCTGGTATTCAGTTATATGAGCTACTTGTAGATTTTGGAAGTTAATCTAACTGTCAGCTGTTTCATTTGCTATTATTTTCTCCCATTCTGAGGGTTGTCTTTTCACATTATTTATAGTTTCCTTTGCATAGCTCACTGTTTTTAGCCTTTCTTTTTTCAAATAACATACCTTTATGTCATGTTAAATTATGTTCTCATCTTACTTTAGTTACAGCTCATAAATTATGTTTGTTTTCATTCAGATAACATTATTTTCTAATTTCCATACATTGTGTACTTTCCAAACATTTGAGTATTGGTAAATGTTTCATGTGCTTTAAAAGAACTTTTTACTTTCACTGATATAAGTTCTTATGTTGTTTTACATTGAATATTTGCTGATTAATTGTGTTGAAAGTGTTCCACTCAATCACTCAGTGGTGTTCAACTCTGTGACCCCATGGACTGCAGCCTGCCAGACTCATCTGTCAATGGGATTCTCCAGGCAAGAATACTGGAGTGGGTCACCATTCACCTCTCTAGGCTGTCGTCCCTACCCAGGGATTGAACCCAGGTCTCCTGCATTGCAGGCTAATTCTTGATATAATTTGGGCCACCAGGGCCCAATTAGGTTACTTGAAATCTGTAATAAATCTGCCAGCAAGCAAATCAACCATTAGTTAATAACTTGAAACTGTGGGAGAATGGGGAACTAATTTTGAGAATAATTTGAATGGAAGAGGCTATTCTCTATTTCGAATATTCAGTCTCAGTTCAGTCACTTAGTCGTGTCCGACTCTTTGCAACCCCATGGACTGCAGCACACCAGGCTACCTTGTCCATCACCAACTCCCCAAGCCTACTCAAACTCTTGTCCATTAAGTTGGTGATGCCATCCAACCATCTCATCCTCTGTCATCCCTTTCTCCTCCCTCCTTCAGTCTTTCCTAGCATCAGGGTTTTTTCAAATGAGTCAGTTCATACTTCGTATTCCTGATATTATTCATTAGTATAGCTGTCATTTTTTTGTGATATGTTTAAAGCAGTACTAAAAGATACCAGTACAGGAGACAGGGATCAAGACCATCCACATGAAAAAGAAATACAAAAAGGCAAAATGGTTGTCTGAGAAGGCCTTACAAATAGCTGTGAAAAGAAGAGAAGTGAAAAGCAAAGGAGAAAAGGAAAGATATTCCCATTTGAATGCAAAGTCCGGAATANTTTGCAGTATATCAGCTATATGCAGTCTTGGTTGTTGAAGCTTGGAAATGCCGTTCCTCCCTCTTAGTGTGCTCTGGGATAGAGAGATGGCAACATGTGCTTAAGGCAAGCAAAATATTTGAACATGTGATATTGTCAATGCAGAGAAATCCAGTAACAAAAATTTGGCTCAAAGAGAACAAGATCCCTTCTTATTAGGAATGGCTTATAGCAGCATGTCAACATTATAGCTGCTGTTGAGATATTGACCCCGTGTTGCTAAGGCTTGAGCTCCCATGGGAGTTGATTCTTTTCCTCTGTTTTTTGCGCTTGTGAAAGTGAGAACATTGGGGGTCTATCTAATGCCTTCATAATTTTTCCCTGTGTGTGCACATACACGTGTACCTAATAGCTTCATAGCTTTACCCTTGTGTGGCTGTACCATGATCTATGGACATGTAGTTTTTTTTGAGGCTTTTGACACAGTGTAAAACGAATATTCTTTTAATATTTTTGCATACTTAGGCAAGTTTATATATAAGGTAAGTTCCTAAGAAATTGCTGGGTTGTAGGGGGTATGGTGATTGCAGCCATGAAATTAAAGACACTCCTTGGAAGGAAACTTATGACCAACCTAGATGGCGTATTAAAAAGGAGAGACGTTACTTTGCCAACAAAGGTCCATCTAGTCAAGGCTATGGTTTTTCCAGTGGTCATGTATGGATGTGAGAGTTGGACTCTGAAGAAAGCTGAGTGCTGAAAAATTGATGCTTTTGAACTGTGGTGTTAGAGAACACTCTTGAGAGTCTCTTGGACTACAAGGAGATCCTACCAGTCCATCCTGAAGGAGATAAGTCCTGGGTGCTCATTGGAAGGACTGATGCTGAAGCTGAAACTCCAATACTTTGGCCATCTGATGTGAAGAGTTGACACATTGGAAAAGACCCTGATGCTGGGAGGGATTGGGGGCAGGATAAGGGGACGACAGAGGATTAGATGGCTGGATGGCCTCACTGACTTGATGGACATGAGTTTGAGTAAACTCTGGGAGTTGGTGATGGTCAGGGAGGTCTGGCATGCTGCTATTCATGGGGTCACAAAGAGTCGGACACGACTGAGCGACTGAACTGAACTGAAAAGATACTAGATATTTTTACTTCTTTTATTAGATATTTTTTGCCTCGCCATTTTAGAACATATTAGCTATTTTTACTTCTTTTATTTATTTATTGCCTTGCAATAAGGTATCCTGACCAGGGATTGATCCCCCCACCCAACATGAGAAGTTCAGTCTTAACCATTGAACCTCTAGGGAATTTCCTGCTTTTGTTATTAATATACTTGAAGTCCATTAAAGTGCCTAGTTACAGTTGTGCTTTTTGTTCTTAATTTCATGTTCAAAATACACTCAGACTCACTAGCCTTGAGTTTTTTGTTTTTTTTTTAACTAATTATCCAGTATATAGAATCTTAAGAGGATAGGAGGGCCATCTGCTTCCTTATAGTTTGGCTCATGGGTTAAGCTCAGCTACCAAGAAAATAGACATTATGGGAGTTTTGAAGATAAGTTTATAGATCCCAGGACTGTCATGAAATTTTTTTTAATATACAGCAAAGTCTTGGGCAATATTTGGGTTAACATCACTCCTATTAAAAATATATATATAATTCAGCGATTTCATTTCTTTTGTATACTGCTGTACACATAGTGACCCTCAGTAACATTTATTGAATGAATGAATGAAGCAAAACTGCTGAAATAAAAGCTGTTATTATCAGTCAAGTCTGGAGCTAAAATTGAGGATATGCTCCTTATACCTGAAAATGATTATTAATATTCCTCATTGTCATTGACTAGATCAGACTTAATTGATAATTAATATTAAATTTATATTTATGTTCATTGTTAAAATAAAACTTTAATAGTTTTTTTTTTCTTAAATCAGAAAAGCTGCAAGAATTGTGTAGAATCTCCCACATGCCTTCACTCAGATCCCCCAGTTGTTAATATTGGCTTTATTTTTTTCTTCTATATACATTTTTTTCCTGCTCATTTGAAAGTAAAAAAAAAAAGAACAAGGGAGTATAGTTCCCTGACTGGAGATTGAACCGGGCCACCTGCATTGGGAATGCTGAGTCTTCACCACTGGACCACCAGGGATACTTTTTTTTTTTTTTTTTAAGGCCACTTGCTTCAGAAGAACTCCCCTACACACACATTTCATTGTTGTTGTTATTTAATTTAAAATTTTATTTTTTTAATTTAAAAATTATTTATTAAGTGAAAAGTACCATATATAAAATAGATCGAAGATGAACTCTCCTTCTGCCCTCCTCCCCAGAAACTGTTACAATCACTGGCTTCTGTCTTAGAACATTTTAAGAGGTGCTTTAAGGCCAGTTCATGTTAGGAGGGGACAGAAGTTAAAATGTGACTGATGTCTTACTATTCCACTGTGGTAAGCAGTTGCCCTCGGGAGAAACTGTAGCTGGACTTGGATTGGGTGGAATTTCATTATGTGTTTCAAGATATTCACAAATGATCTCAGGAGATGAACTACTATTTTTTTAGATGAACATTTTTTATCATGATTTTAATCTCCATTTTAAGTTGGTTCATTTGTTCTCAGCAACTGTATGGCTTTGGAACTATAATCAAGTCTAATATCCTTTATTTGACTGTTTTTAATTTATGTTACAGGGTAAGGTCCTTTATAAGGTTCGTTGGAAAGGATACACAGCAGATGATGATACCTGGGAGCCTGAGATTCACCTTGAGGACTGTAAGGAAGTTCTTCTTGAATTTAGGAAGAAAATTGCAGATAACAAAGCTAAATCAGTGAAGAAAGATATCCAGGTATTATATTTTATCTCATAGTGGTTGGGTTTTTTTAATATAATAAATTTAATGGCATACAAAATGTACAGTATGGAATTTGCAAGGGAAAATGAAATATACAGCATTTCTATTGTAAGCTCTGTATAGCCAGTTGATTCTCATAGTGTTTTCATTGATTTTTGCCAAAGTGTTCTTTCTGTAGCCAGCCTTTGATTGCAGGTGACAAACAGCTATAGTTTGGACATGATGATTAAGTTACAAGTAACATGAAAGTGGGGAGAAAAGAGACGTGTTGAAATTTTACTTGTTTGTCCATGATGTGAACATTGTGTTTTCGTATACCTGAGGAATACCTTTTGTGCTATTCATGTTACTACTGCAGATGCACCACATACTTTGGTATTTAATCAGCTTTCAGTTCATTTCAGTTGCTCACTCGTGTCCAACTCTTTGCAGCCTCATGGACTGCAGCATGCCAGGCCTCCCTGTCCATCACCAACTCCCAGAGTTTACTCAGACTCTTGTCCATTGAGTCGGTGATGCCATCCAACCATCTCATCCTTTGTTGTGCCCTTCTCCTCTCACCTTCAATCTTTCCCAGCATCAGGGTCTTTTCAAATAAGTCAGCTATTTGCATCAGGTGGCCAGAGTACTGGAATTTCAGCTTCAGCATCAGTCCTTCCAATGAACATTCAGGACTGATTTCCTTTAGGATGGACTGGTTGGCTCTCCTTGCAGTCCAAGGGACTCTCAAGAGTCTTCTCCAACACCACAGTTCAAACGCATCAGTTCTTTGGCGCTCAGCTTTCTTTATAGTCCACATTTTACATCCATACATGACTACTGGAAAAGCCATACCTTTGACTAGATAAACCTTTGTTGGCAAAGTAATGTCTCTGCTTTTTAATATGCTGTCTAAGTTGGTCATAACTTTTCTTCCAGGAAGTAACTGTCTTTTTATTTCATGGCTGCAATCACCATCTGCAGTGATTTTGGAGCCCCCCAAAATAAAAGTCTGACACTGCTTCCACTGTTTCCCCATCCATTTCCCATGAAGTGATGGGACCAGATGCCATGATCTTAGTTTTCTGAATGTTGAGCTTTAAGCCAGCTTTTTCACTCTCCTCTTTCACTTTCATCAAGAGGCTTTTTAGTTCCTCTTCACTTTCTGCCATAAGGGTGGTGTCATCTGCATATCTGAGATTATTGATATTTCTCCCGGCAATCTTGATTCCAGCCTATGCTTCTTCCAGCCCAGCATTTCTCATGATGTACTCTGCATATAAGTTAAATAAGCAGGGTGACAATATACAGCCTTGACATACTCCTTTTCCTATTTGGAACCAGTCTGTTGTTCCATGTCCAGTTCTAACTGTTGCTTCCTGACCTGCATATAGGTTTCTCAAGAGGTGGGTCAGGTGGTCTGGTATTCCCATCACTTTCAGAATTTTCCACAGTTTATTGTGATCCACACAGTCAAAGGCTTTGTCATAGTCAATAAAGCAGAAATAGATAGTACTGCAATAAAACAAACTTTGTCATGCAAACAAAACCATATTAGCTAAATAATCAAATAGAATTTTAAATTTACAGTAGAAGCTTGAGATAGTTCTTTTTTTTTTTTTGAGATAGTTCTTAAATGTTATTTCCCATTTCTCTATAATTCTTCCTTAAGCTTAACTTCAATAACATTAATTTCTACCCAACTTTAGCCATTCAGCAACTTAACCACAAAATTCCATCATTCCTTGGACTTACCTTACTTCTGAGATCTTGAACACTGAAATTTAAAGAACTTGTCTAAACACTGAAAGGATATTCAGCCTTATTGAAATCTATAGGCCCTTAATCCCTCCCTTTCAAGTTTTTTATAAAATACACATAAAATATACCATCTTAAGTATACATTTCAGTCATTAAATACATTTACAGTATTGTGCAAGCATCACCACCATCCATCTCCATAATTCTTTCCATCTGGTAAAATTAAAACTCTACACCCATTAATATATAGCCCCCTCCCCTCAATCTCCCCCACCTCAGTCCTTAGCAACCGTGATTCTTTTTGTCATCATGATTTTGACTACTCTTATATATATATATACATATATATGTATGTATTTTTTTTGAGGAACACCATACTATTTTCTACAGCAGCCATACTATTTTACATTTCTACTTTCTGTGCGTAAAGATTCCACTGTCTCCACATCCATGTCAACTTTTGTTATTTTTTTGATGTAGCTATTCTAGTGGGCTATTTGCATTTCCCTAAATGATCAGTGATGTTGAGCATCTTTTCATATCCTTGTTAGCCTTTTGAGTATCTTCTTTGGAGAAATATCTATTCAAGTCCTTTGATCATTCTTAAGATGTTTTGTTCTTGTTTTAGGAGTACTCTATATGGAACTTAATCTCTTATAAGATATATGATTTACAAATATTTTTTCCCATTGTTAAGATTTTTTATTGCACAAATTAAAAAATTTTCATGATGTCCAATTTATCTATTTTTTCTTTTGTTGCCTGTACCCATGGTGTCATATCCAAGAAATCTGCCACATCCTGTCCTGCAAACTTTGCCATTTTCTTCCAAGAGTTTTTTTTTTTTCATTTATTTTTATAGTTTTAAGTCTTATGTTTAAATCTTTAATCCAATTTGAGTTAATTGTTGTAGATTGTTAATAAGGGTCCAACTTTTTTCTTGTGCATGTGGATATTTAGTTTTCCCAATATCATTTGCTGAAAAGACTGTCCTTTCTTCACTGAACAGTTCAGCATTTTTGTAAAAAGTTACAAAAAAATTTACTCACCCATAAAAATGAATGAAATATTGCCTTTTATAGCAACATGAATGAACCTAGAGGATATTATATGTGGTGAAGTCAGAGAAAGACAAATACTACATACCACTTATATGTAGAATTCAAAAAATGTACAAATGAATTTACATACAAAACAGAAACAGACACACAGGAAACAAACATATGGTTACCCAAAGGGAGAGAGGAAGGACAAATTAGGAGGAGTATGGAATTAACAAAGTACTATACATAAAACAGATAAGCAACAAGGATTTACTGTTAGCACATAGAATTATATTCAATACCTTGTGATAACCATGATGGAATATAATCTGAAAAAATATTTGAATCATTTTGCCATACATCTGAGACTTAAGACTATATTGTAAATCAACTATACTATACTTAAAAAAAGTGTTAAGATTATTTGGCCATATATGCAAGGGTTTATTTTTGGGCTATTACATTGATCTATTGTATCTATTTTTAAGCCAGTATCAGAGTTCTGATTACTGTAGATTCTCAAAGTTTTGAAATCAGGGAATTCATCCTTTTTTAAACTTTCTCCACATTTTCCTTCAGTTCCTCAAGCATCTTTAAGATAGTTGTTTAAGTCTTTGTCTAGTGGATCTGCCATCAGTTCTTTATCAGGGAGATTCTGTTGATCTTTTTCTTTTCCCTTGAATGAGCCATACTTTCCTGTTCCTTTAAATATTTTGTGATTTTTTTTTTTTTGGTTAAAAACTGGACATATAAATTTATAATGTGGGATACCTCTGGAAATCAGATTATCCTCCTTCTATAAGATTTAATTTTTTGATTGTTGTGGGCTCTTCTGCCAAGGACCAATCAGCCTGATGTGTGAAACTTAAGGTATTCCCAGGTCTTTTTGAGTCCTTGGTCACTGTCCTTACTCCTGCTCTGCACTTCTATTCACATACACTCCATATCATATACCATATGTCTCCCCCTTTTCAAGTCCACAAGTCTTTAAGAGTATGCTTCAACCTTGACCATAACTGGCTCCAGTCCATCCTACATACTGTTCTTGTATTAAACTTTAAGCAGATCTAGACCTTCAATAGCTGGCTGTGGCCAAATGAATTACATCTGCCAGATTACATAATTTGGCCTGTTTACCTTTGTAGCCTTATCTTAAACTAATTCCCTACCCTGGCAGTTGTTTCTCATGAACTTCACCTCATGCTATTCACTGGCTAAGATATCCTCTTAATCTGGGTTTTCTTCATTCCACCAGTTCAAGGTTTATATTAATTTGTGAAAAATAACTCTTCCTCATGTAATTCCATCACTAGAAAACTCTTCCTACCCCTTCTGAACATCTTAGTACTTTCTGCCACTCTTCTGGAACTCACCATTCTACTTTGTTTCAGTTATTTCCTTAAATGGCTAGTGTTTGTGGATAGATGACAAGATTCTCTTTGGTTATACTTTATAATTCAAATCTGCATTTGAGCTTAATCCCGAAGGCATCAAAAATACATTTTTGCAGTGAGGAAAGGTAACAAGGTGTCACTAAATAAGTACACATGGAGATCTGAAATACCATTAGGAACAACATTCTTCTACTACTCTTGGGTGTTGTCCTCTCTGAGAGTAAACAGGCCAAACTCATCAACATGGAAAACTCATTTGGTCTTTGATGTGAAAACATCTTTATTGGCCTCTGTTCACAAACTAAAAAGTTAGTGAAAAGCAAATACCATTAATATTTGCTAGTAAGGCTGGTAGCACTTGCTGCAAAAATGTACAATAAACATTTCTGCTGTTAAGGATATATTCCAGTGTTGGAAACTTGTTATTGGAAGTAAGATAAAATTGCCTGTGGTTACACTGCTAAGTTATACTTACTTTCTAAGAATTTTTTTGTTCAGTAACTTAGAAGCCAAGCAGCCATAGCACAATTTCCTTTTCATTCTCAGGGGATTTCCTCAGCTAAGGGCATGTCTTTTTTTTTTTCCCCCCCATTTTATTAGTTGGAGGCTAATTACTTTACAATATTGTAGTGGTTTCTGTCATAAAATGACATGAATCAGCCATTGATCTACACGCATTCCCCATCCCGATCCCCCCTCCCACCTCCCTCTCCACCCTATCCCTCTGGGTCTTCCCAGTGCACCAGGCCCGAGCACTAGGGCATGTCTTTTGAGAAATCTGTTCCATCGTTAATGTCTCAGGCCTCTTTAACCACCAAACCAGCACTGAGAGCAGGTTTCGGTTTGTCCAACTTAAGCTGATCTTATTTAACATGAACTGGGGACTTTGCTGGTGGTTCAGTGGTGAAGACTCCGGGCTCCCAATGCAGAGGACCCAGGTTAGGCTGCTGCTCAGGGACTAGATCCTACATACCTCAACCAAGAGTTTGCATGCCATAACTAAAGATCCTGCATGCTGCATATTAGACCTGGCACAACCAAATAAATATTTTAAAAATAAATGATCATGGCTTTAAAAATTAATAAAATAAATATAATGAACTTGTTACAAAGGATTGGTTAATCTAAGTATTTCCCTAGGACTCAAAAATTTTGGTATGACTTTACAATATAGACTTTGTGTTAATTGCATAGTACTTCTTAAGTTGTAAAACACATATTCTTTCAACCATTTAAAACTGTATAATTCAGTGGCACTTGGTACATTTACAGTGTTGTACAACCATCACCAGAACACTGATTACCCCAAAAAGAATCCCCACAACTATTACGCCAGCACTCCCCAATCTTCTCCCACTGGCCTTTAGTAACAACCAATCTGCTTTGTCTCTGTGGACTTTGTTTTTTGAAGCAATGTAAGGCTTGTGGGGTTTTAGTTTCCCAATCAGATCAAAGCTGGGTTCTCAGCAAAGTCCAGAGTCCTAACTACTGGACCACCAGGGAATTCCGTGTCTCTGTGGATCTGCCTATTCTGAGTATTTCATATAAACAGAATCATATAATGTGCAGCCTTACTGTGTCTGGGTTCTTTCACTTAGTCTGTTTCCAAGTTTCATTGATGTTGTAACACTTATCAGTACCTCCTTTCTTTCTATGGCTGAATATACCATTACATGGATATACCACATCTTATCATCAGTTTATGCAAACACCATTTTTTGTTCATCCAAACATCAATTTGGTTGTTTCCACCTTTTGGCTGCTGTGAATAGTGCAACTATGAACATCCATATATAGCACTTTTGCTTAAATGCTTGTAATTTTGGGTATATACCAAGCTATGGAATTGCTGGGTCATATAATACTTCTCATTTAAATTGCTGAATTCAAATATTGAGTGGTACTATTTATGAAAATAGTGAAGGCTCCAAGAAATTATGTTTTACACACTAGATGATTAACCAAAAAGTGGCAGTAGCTCTAGCTCTAGTTTTTGACACTAAGTAGTGGGGAAGGATATGGCTAAGTTAGTGATTCTCAAATAGTGTACACAAAAATTACTTGGCAAACCTTTTAAAAAATGCAGATGGCTGAGTCTCAAGGCCAAATATTCTAACTCAGTAGGGCTGGAGCCTAGGAATTTGTACTTTAGACATCCTAGATGATTCTGATGGAGATGGGTCTTTCCACTGCACTTTGACAAACTCTTGAAGCTGATGGCTCTTTCTCAACTGAAATCAGATTAGACAGAAGGGATTAAAGGAGTAAAATGAAGCTTTCACAACTGTCACCTTAATCTTTTATAGAAACCCTGCAACTGTGATGACAAATAATATATCTGCTGAGGAAATATATATCTGCTGTGAGGAAAACTCGTCTTTCTGTAGTAGACTTTCTTCATTTTAATAGGCAAAACTTGACCAATAAACACCACATAGTATTACAAATAAAATACTACTGAAAGCAAAGTTTCTCAGTTGTGTCCAATTCTTTGCAACCCCATGGACTGTAGCCTACCAGTCTCCTCCATCCATGGAATTTTCCAGTCAAGAGTACTGGAGTGGGTTGCCATTCCCTTCTCTAGGGGATCTTTCCGACCCAGGGATCAAACCCGGGTCCCCTGCATTACAGGCTCTCATCATCTGAGCCACCAGGGGAGCCCGTAACTGAACCAATTGTCATTCCCAAGACTCCTATTCTAAGCATTTGTTAGTATCAAAGATAAACAATGCTGTAGCAACTTTTGTCTTTAAACTGTAGCCAATTCACTTTACTTTTTGATATTGAGTTTCTTCTAAGATGACAGTTAAGATTCACTACAGACACACAATTGCTTAATGTGAGACTTACTGACAATCAAAAATTGCCTCCCTAATCCCAATACCCATTTAATAAGGGTTCAATTCCTAAAAACCTGACATGATTTATTTTTAGATCCAGGTGTGTAAGACCGGCCAGGTTAGTCTTGAAAGGTAATACTGCTTCCAAGTATTGTAATTCATGTTAGCCCTTAAAAACATAAAACCATCTTAAGTAATTAACTATACTGATTTAATCATATTTCATAGAAGCCCAAAGCACTCCAACGTTTCCCCTTTATATGAATAAACGCCCTGTAATTTAAAATGTGCAAAACATTAAAATAATTCCCGTAAAAATTATATTAGCATATTTTCCATCACCAGGGACTGGTACAGCCTCTGCCTGAATACATGTTCTTCTCAGTGATGATCTAAATTTAAATTTAGGTAAATACAAATCACAGCAAAAATAAAGTTTTCATCTTTAATGAAATGACTTTGGAAATAACATACATTTCCATGACACCAACACTACAGTTTTCGGAGTCACAGTAAGATACACAGAATTATATCCATAATTAATATGAATGCCAACATTTGAAGCAGTAATTTCTGTTACATGGCAAACAAAATCAAGAAAGCAACCATCAAACAAAAGAGACCCATAGCTTCAGACAAGGCAAATCCCAGGATAGCATATGAGAACAGCTGCTGCTTCAGTGAAGGGTTTCTAAAAGAGACAACACATACCATTGTTACTTTGAAATATTATTCAAATTTTAGCATGGTTGACAAATGTTAAAGAACCAGATTATTAGTGTTGGGTTCTTTGTAAGCTGAAAAGTACTGGCACAGCATTCTGCCCAGATCTCTTTTGGTTCTCCCTGACATTCCTTTCCCCTCATTCCTAATCAGATGGGGAAAGGGAGGCATTATCTCCCTATGTCAATGGTCAGTCTTCATCCATTATGAAGGATTCTGACCTTCTTATCCCCGTAAAAGTATGTTTAAGATTCGATAGTTTAAGTAAAAGGTCTTAAATAATAAGATGGAAACTGGTATTCTTTTAAAGCACGAGCTGTCTTGCTTTAACTTTAGACAATGAGCTTCTCTAGTCCTTAATAGGTAAACTAGAGTCCTTCTAGGGGGTTTTGGGAGCAGTGATAATGCATGCAAAGTACTCAAAATGTAATGCAAGACACAGAAAGGCACTTAATAGAAAGTAGCTATTATTATTTCACTAGTTTTCTAAGTTTCCAACTATTTCAAACATGTTTTCAAACTATTTATTTGGCAATAGAAATTACCTGGCATAACCAATGATGAGACTGCCAAAAACTGTTCCAATACCAGCACCAGAACCAGCCACTCCTACTGTGGCAGCACCTGCACCGATAAATTTGGCTGCAGTATCAATGTCTCTGTTGACCGCACTGGTCTGAAACTCCCTTTGGATTAACTGAGACACACCATTCTGGGTTCCATTAAATACTGTAGAGCCCTAGACAGCAGGAAATAAAGGTAAAGGTAAAATTAGTAATCACAGTTAGCTATTTTAATCATGGTACTGTCAAAATGATAACCACTTCTCTATAGTTGGTAGCTGAGTTTGAATAGAAGATGATGTGGCACAATGGAAAACTCTAGGGCTTAGAATAATTCCAGTCTTGCAGAAAAGGAACAACAGTATCAATACCACATAAGGTCTTTGAAAATTAAGAAACATTGTATGTGCATGTGTTTTTTAATAGAGTAGGCTGTTCAGGAACTGTTGCTATCAAAATCGTACACCAGCAACTCAAAACTATACATTTAAGTATATATATTAATTATATTTTCTGGCCAAAATTCAGGTGAATAAGTTTTGGATAAAGTTTCTTTCATTGGCTCATCCTCTGCAAATTTTTTGGATAAAAGGGTGGAAAGGACTACCTAAAACCATTCATTAATGAGGTTTTCCCCCTTCACTTTGATAAAGACCCTAAGACTTCTTTGGTAGCATTAGTTAATTTTACCTCTCCAGTCCTAGTCTCTGGTCGAGATAACACTGATGCAGAAATTGGTCTGTATGCAACTCTGGATCCAGCTCTGATCTATTCATGAAAAAGATTTCATGTATTAAGACAACAGATATGACTTCAAGAACCCTTCCCACACCATGAATTCTAAAAAGGCAATCTGCAAAAATGAGTCAGAAAGATCATGACTTTTCTGTATTGATTCTTATCCTGGCTATTTGATCATTTTTCAACGCATTAAACAATTTTGACAAAACTTGTTAATGAAACTTTAAAACTTATTCATAATGCATTTGTAATACTCTGAACAAAACTTGTAAGTATTGCTTTTAAAATTTCAATTATTGTAGTGCCACAATTAAGATCAGAAAACCAGCAATAAATACCCCACATTCTTTGGTAAGTGGATCAACAAGTACATAAGCACTATTAACGCTTGTCATTTTAAACAGCCCATTAGTTAAAATGAGCGCTCGCTATTTCTAAGATTATTCCTATATGTCCATTAATCATAAAATTAAAATGCAGTTTAAACAATTCCACACTGGTGGAAGAACAATCTTTTAAACAGTCTGACCATAAGGACATATTCCTGCCCTTGAGTGTCCACTAACTAAGGTCACAGAAAATTCCTTCAGAACCAGGATCTGATTCTCTATAAGACAAACCCCCCAGATCTTCACACAAAGTACCCAAAAATGGTTTTGGAAATAACACTCCAGAGGCAGTAGAAACTTTCGGCTGCTGCACTAGCCGCCTCCGCCCACACAGGGTGAGGCAAAGTCCCTCCCTCTGCAGCATCGAGTTTGACCTACAGATCGTAATGGAGACCGCAGCAGCAGCGAACGTAGGCCTCGAGGCCCCTTCCACCCTCCTCTGCACCCCAACCCTCGCGAGTCCGGATCCAACAGGGTGTCGGAAGAGGTGGGGGAGGGGCCGTTCCAGGACAAGGAGCAAGGAGGGTTTGACCTACACCAAGCTGGGCCTGACAACTAGGCCCCGACGGTTCTCCCTAGCCAGAGTGGAGGGGAGGAGCGAAGTAAGAAACCCCACGAAGTAAAAGGAAAGGGATAAAAAGACACAGAGCTTAAAAGGCGTGAGGGAACTGTCCTGAGAGGGGCGTGAGTCCCGCGCGGAGGTGACCCATTCAACAACGTGGACGCCCGTGGCAAGAGGCCGGGCCCTCCAGCTCCGGGCCCAGTCTGGGCTACGCACCAGAGCTGGGGTGCAGGCAAGCTTGGCGCAGGCGAACATCTTGCACTCTTTGGGGCAGCGCAGCTGGAGGACTTGGGTGACAGGAGACGTGGGCTCTTCTCCCGCTTCCTCTGCGGAGGCAAAGAGGCTTAAGGTCAAGTGTCCTCCGAGGGCCCGTATTTCCACCCAAGTCCCTCGAGTTCCGTGCACGCGGTCTGCTCGGGCCCAGGGCCAAACGAGGCGCCGGCAGAATGAACGGGTCCCTCTGGGGCGCAGCTCACCACGGCCAGACCCGGCTCCCGCGCCCTCCGCTTACCTTCCAGTGAGGTGACGGCGGCCGCGGCGGCAGAGGTCGAAGGAATGGGGCTGGGCGCGCAAGCGCAGTCCCGCTCTTATTCGCACCGCAGCACCCGGATGGAGAAGGCGGGGAATTGGGTGCAGCCCGGAAGACGCTCAAGGTCACTTTGTAACAACTTTATTGGTAACCAGTCCGGAAGTACAGAGACAGCCGCCCTAAGATGGAGTGGCGGGCAAAAGAGGGGTGAAGGAGAGACAAAAAGTACATATTGAAAACTAGCCCAGGGAGAGGGAACCGAAAGGATTATTTCGCCTTTGATCTAAGCTGGTCGCAGGATAGTGGGACTTAATCTTTCAGTTGACTTTCTTAATGAGATTTGGCCTTTTATCAGTTGCTAGGTTTCTTTCGTAAAAGAGATCCCTTCCTGGTCATTGTTCTCTGTGAAATAGGACTCTGTGGGGAAACCGTTCATTCACTGCTTAGCAGAAAGTACATTTCTGTAAAGGAATCTGAAAAAAAGAGTTCCAGAAGTCTGGAATAATCTTTTGGGGGAAAGTGGGCCTGACCTTCTGGGACAAGTTCAGTTCAGTTGCTCAGTCGTGTCCGACTCGTTGTGATCCCGTGGACTGCAGCACGCCAGGCATCTCTGTCCATCACCAACTCCGAGAGCTTACTCAAACCCATGTCCATTGACGTGGTGATGCTGTCCAACCATCTCATCCTCTGTCGTCCCCTTCTCCTCCCGCCTTCACTCTTTCCCAGCATCAGGATCTTTTCAAAAGAGTCAGTTTTTCACATCAGGTGGCCAAAGTATTGGGAGTTTCAGCTTCAGTATCAGTCCTTCCAATGAATATTCAGGACTGATCTCCTTTAGGATGGACTGGTTTGATCTTGCAGCCCAAGGGACTCTCAAGAGTCTTCTCCAACATCATAATGCAAAAGCATCAATTCTTCCGTGCTCAACTTTCTTTATGATCGAATTCATATCCATACATGACTACTGGAAAAACCAGAGCTTTGACTAGACGGACCTTTGTTGGCAAAGTAATGTCTCTGCTTTTTAATATGCTGTCTAGGTTTGTCATAGCTTTTTTCCCAAGGAGCAAGCGTCTTTTATTTTCATGACTGCAAGTCACTATCTGCAGTGATTTTGGAGCCCCCCAAAATAATACTAGGACAAAGGAATAAGCCCCCCCCCCCAAAAAAAAAAAAATACTGGGACAAAGGAACAAGCAAATGAATAGCTCTAAGAGCTTTGTGGCTTGGGCACAAAGTTACCTCTTGGTAAAGAGAGGGAGGTCAGTTTTTCTTCCAGCCCTGTGATTGGGAGAATTAAGGGATTGTAAATGTTTTTTTCATGTAGGGCCAGGGACTAAAGAAAGTCCTAGTATTTTCAAAACTGATCCAACTGTAACACTTGTTTGGGCTTCAGATGAATACAGAAATACCTCAGGGAAAAAATGGCTCTTACTGGACTTCTGTCACGTCTTGAATTCTGTAAATCTGACTTAATAGTTTTAACAAGTGGCTATGGAGGTGGTACAAGGCAACACGAAAGATTAAGTATCTAGGGATGTCTAGGGACTGAAATCCTACCTACTTGGCCTAGAGCCCTGAAACAACATAGACCCAGAGGATCACTTTTTTTTCTAGTTGGCACAATGG